TACTAAAAGGAACTAGTTCAAAAAGCTAACTGAACAGAGCAGGCTATGCCTGGACCAGGATGGAGTGTCTCCCGAGCCAAGGATTATGATTAACCCGGTTCTGTGCACCTGAGGTCCAATTGAAAAAAGCAGTCAATAACGGGCCTATTTCAAAGGGTGGTCTGAGATTTAGATTTCATAATATGTATGCTTTTTCTTACTGTTTTTTTTTTTCCTCTCTAGTCTTTTTAAACACCACTTTTTCTTCTCCAATAGCAGGGTCTCCTCATGCAGGTCAAATGAAGGTTCATAAGGGCCTTGAGCATCGGGAATCTGGTTGACCCCCTTGGTGGGTACCGAAGTCTCATTAGGGCAGAAGGAAGGTCTGGGCTGGCTTCCAGAAAGGAAAGGTGCGTCAGCACTTGGACACACTGGGGTTTGGGTCGGGGTGATGGTCTTATTCAAATGGGCTGCCATTTTACACTGGACAACAGGAAAGCAGAGGGAGACCCCTATAGACCACCGCTCGTATAAGCCATGGTTCTCGCACTCAGAAGGCCCTGCTTTGGGGATGGGGGACATTTTTTATATTGGCGTTCGTCTGCTCACCGAACATTCACTGGGCACCAGGTGAGATGCTTTTGCGTGCTCTGGTCGATGTGCCAGGCCCTCAGGGATACAGAACGCGCAGCGAGCGCCTTTTCTGGGTCGCCCACCACGCTAAGTGCTTTGCTTGTGCTCTCTCCTCACCCGCACGGCTCCCTCCTTTGTTGCTTCCCCCATGGGAGCTCTGGCCACCCCGTTACAACTTGCAACTGCGCGTGCTTTTCATTTGTGTGGCTGGAGACGCTGGGTGTAATGGAAGGGCCAAGGATGAGCTCTGAAGGCAGGCCGTGCTTGGTTCAGATCCCGGGCTCCCCACTGTAAGACCTGACACGCTTGCTTAAGTTCACCCCTTTGAGCCTCAGCTTTCTCATCTGTCAGATGGGAATAGCCAGCCTTATCTCACAGGGCTGCATGAGACTTAAATGAAGCAATTCATAACAAGCATCTTTGATTTCTGTCACATAGTCAATGTTCAGTACGTAATCTCTATTATTTTTTCTTCCTTGAGAGTAGGGTCTGTAAAATAATTTCTTTTTATTCCAGTAGGGCCCAATACCTGGTAACACATTCATTACCCGTCTGTTGAATGAATGAATGAGTGAATGCACGAGTGAGTGCGTGCCCTTTGAGACTGAGAGCGCATGTTCTGCCCCTCTTCTGACTTCTTTCTCGCCAGCCCCACAGCAGCTCTAGGGCAGGAAAAGCTGCCCCAGCTCACATGGATCCACACCTCCGACCAGGCCTTTACTTCTTCTGACATCCAGCAGCTTCCTGAATGGTCCTGAGCACGCGGCTGGCTTCAGAAACTCCTTCTCCTTGAGAATCAGAGGTGCTCGAGCAGGCTTCTCAGGAGGCATCTGGGCCCCGGCCTGCACCAGCTAAGACAGCAGTGGCCCCTGCGCCCATGGGCACAGACGGCCTTCTCATTCCTGGCTTTAATGCCCAGCCCTCACTGCCTGTACGACCCCCCACCCTGGACGCTATTATTTCCTTTCAGGAGTGATGGAAACAGGAGAACAGGAGTATAAGCTCCAAGGAGGAAGGGAGACAGGTGCGTGGACGAGGCACCAACTCCCACTGCAGTTCTGCCTTCCTTGTGCTCTGTGAATTGACCTTTCACCTCCCTGCCTCACAAGCCCCCATCCCCTCCGCATCACTCAGATGAACAAGCCCTGCTCGGTGTGGCCCTGGATTGGGGACAGCGTCCTGGGCCAGGAGGTAGGAGGCTTGAGTGCAAATCCAGCTTCTGCTACTCACTGGCTGTGGGATTTCAGACAAGTCACTTTTGCTCTTGGAAACCTCAGAATCTGCTCTGTAAAATGGGATCTGATCACCCACCTCAAAGGTCTGGTGTGAGAATTAGCAGTGATATTTGTACATCGGAGGTGATCTCAAAATTGCAGTTACTACTAAGGACTGTTATTCCACACACTCAGGGGCTGAGGCAGGGTGGAAAGGCCTGGAAGACCCCAGCCCCAGATTTGCGCATCTGTATGTTCTAAAAATAAGTATTTTTCTCATCTCCTCAGCTTGCTCAGCAGACAGAGAGACGCTGCAGACCCCAGAAAACCTCACCCGAGCCTGTACTGTGGGCAGCCCCTGTGGATTCCGCTGCTGGGGAGCAATTTAAGAGGCAAACAAAACATGAAAAGCTACTCAGAATTAACAATGGGGCCAGATGGTAATGCTAGTTTGAAGCAATAAAACATGATAAGTAGCTTCCTGCTGCTATTCCTGATCAACTTCAATATTTAATAATTCCACTGCCACCCCTGCCCCCTCATCTGGCCCCCTCCACAGGCTCCCGCAACGACGCCCCGCATTCGGCTCACAGAGCAAACACGTCTTCACTTTCTGAAGGCGTCAGCAGAAAGCAGGCGGCTCAACTGTCACATAAGCACCCTCCGTCCTGGAGATGATAATTCATCTGCCTACTTCTAAGAGGTTCCATCTCCAGCCTCTCCTGGTTGCCAGGGAAGGATGGAAGGCAGCTCCGACGGCGGAGATGTGATAGGAGCTCTCGCCTTGTCGAATCAGTGAGTATTAGCAGCCCCTGAGTTTTGCTTTTGAATTTAAGAAAGGGGAGCAGTAGGGAGCTGGGCGGTCACCTTGCTCTGGGACCAATAGCAGGAGGAAGCAACCGGAAGGGGAGGGTGGCAGCTTGGCGTTAAAGCCTTACCCACCAGCCGCGCCTCTGAGCCTCAATTTCCTTCTCCGTGTGAAAGAGATCATCGTGTCTACCTCTGGGAGGACTCTAGCCCATGCTGCACGTGTCAAGTGCCGGGCAGTGTGCTCAGAATGTAGGAAACACCCAAGACTGGCAGCTGGAAGCCTCATTATCAAACGTGAAACCACTTAGCAGACGATGCCCAAGTCCTGGCAGCCGCAGGAAGGGCTGCTGGTCCCTGTGGGCAGGGAGCTGGAGCCCAGGGCAGAGCCAGGGTGTGGGGCAGGATCTGGCGGGGAGCACCCTGCTCAGGATTCTCCCCAAGGGGAGCCCACTGATAAGATGAACTGTCCACGAGGGCCCCACAGGCTTTCAGACCCTCCGGCACAGGGCACCCCGGACAGCTGGTGCTGCTGGCGCCCTTTACGGAGGAGGAAATGGGCAGGACGAGGTGAAACGGCTTCTCGCGCTTACATCGTAGGAAGTGGCATTGTCAGTTCTAAGCTGGGTCTCCCAACCCCCCTGATTTCAGGTCCTCGCCACCCTATCGCAGGAGAAAACTGCTCCCTGAGGCGCCCCCTCTTTGTGTGTCCTTTTTGCAGGGAGGCAGCCGAGTGGAGGGTGGCCCCCTTGAGATGCAGTTTACTCGGCTGTGAAATGCGAACGTTCATACCTACTGCACTGGTTCACAGCAGAGACGTTTAATGAGGGAATATGCATGAGAGCCCGCTCTAATTTTGTGATGAGCTGAACAAATGTCAGGTATAGTTATTATTATGGCTTTTTAGAAAAACCCCCTCTGGGAGGAAAAGATCAGAAATTCATCCACCGAAGGCGGATTCTTCTTACCGAATCCTTCACCGGCCCCACGTGATCTAGGGGGTCAAGATCAAGCTCTTTCACGTGGCGTTCAAGGCCTTGACAGCTCCTGCAACCCCGTCCCTGCCTCTTCTCCTTTCCCTCCTTGCTGCAGGCCCTCCAGGCTACTTGGGGTGACCTGAGCCTTTCACGTGTGTCTCTGCCTAGACCAGGGAAACAGCCCTGAAGGAGGGGGCGTGTGCCACCCTGTCCCTCAGCTGATCCCACTCAGCTTCTGCAGGAAGTCTTCCTTGGGCCCCCCTTGCTCAGGAACTCCTCTGCTGAGCCTCCTGACAGCCTCTCTGTGATTCCCTCCATCCTAGCACGCATCACACTAGCTACTGCTATGTTCTCATCTGCCTCCCAACTCTAGAGCCAGTTCTTCCTGGGCCTGAACCAAGTGCTGTTCACTCCAGTCTATCCGGGGCCTGGCCCCGCTTATGCCCTGGAAATGTGTGGCGAGGGATGAACCTACCAACGAATAAGTGACTGTTTCCAACATAAATGGAATCAAAGCTTTAGGCAAAGGATTCCAGCAGTGGAATTAGGATTTGGGTGGGCACAGCCTTGGGAGCAGAAGTCAGGACGGTGCTCCTGAATTCAAACTCAGTTCCATCCCTCCAGTGAGGTCTAGAGCTGATAGTGTAAGCAAGCCTCCCAGGACAGACCCTACCCTCCACCGCCCCCCCCCCGCCCCCGCCCCCCCCACCCCGTCCTCCATCTGCTTTTTGTTTGTAGAAAAACTTTAGCTTCCTAGGCCTTCCCCAAGTTCCAAAGAAGAAATTTAATCAAAGAAGTGAGAAAATGCAGAAACAAAGGAAAACAGTCAAGCAAAACAAAATAATAATAGTTTAGTCATTAAACAAAGTCCTCCTCAAGGGCTATAGATAACATTCGGAGCCACGTCCTTTGAGCTGTTTTGCAGAGACTGAAACCCCCGCCAGGTGGAAGAAGTTAACTGCATGCTGCCCACAAGCACGTAGACCCCAGACGGGCTGGAACCAGAAGGTTGATGATGTTGACTCCCAATGACCTCACCACCAACCAATCAGAAGAATGTCCACGAGCTGATCACACACCCCGCGACACCTCTCCCTCACCCTGCTTTTAAAAACCTTTCCCTGAAAGCCACTGGGGAGCTCGGGCCTTCTGAGCTGCCTGGACTCCTTGCTTGGCCCTGCAATAAATGCTGCCCTTTCCTTCACCACAACTCCGAGTCAGCAGGTTGGCTTTACTACACGCAGGCGAACAGACCCAAGTTTGGTTTGGTAACCATAGGATGACCTTCCTCCTTCCCCCACCTTGACCCTTAACAAGAAGAAACAGATAATGTACCACCCATCCCTCTCTGTCCTGCCACAGGACACGGCAGAGGCCAGTCATCAGGTACCTGAATCCCGCTGGTCCACGGTCATGGAGTTCCATCTCCTCGTGATGTCAATGTAGAGGATGTCCACGGCGGCCATGGACAAGCTGCTGCTACTGAGCTTGCAGTTCCTGCAGAAGACAGGAAAGGACACGTCACTGCCAGATCCGACCCGTCCTGTCCTGTCTGGCTTCTGTGCCTTTGCCCGGGCTCTGCTCCCTGCCTGGAAGGCCCTCCCTTCCCACAGCTGGAACTAGCGAAGGGTGAATGGCAGGGAACCATGGGAGAGGAGGCTGAAAATGGAAGAGCTGAGGTCAGATCCTGTGGGTTCCTGTAATGTGCTTCATTAGGGCTCTAAAGGGCTGGGAGGAGGAGGGACTTTAGGATGGCAAGTCTTGAGTTGAACCTGGCTCTACCACTTAGAAGCAGATGGCTCTGATTAAACTATTTCCCCTTCTTGAGCCTCAGTTTCCTGACCTATAAAACAGGCAGTCTTGATTACAGTCACTGTGGTCTGCAAAGGTGGGCAGGCGCGCTGAAAAGAGCATGATTTGGGCCTCGGACAGACCAGGACTGAAATCCTGGCCCTGCTGCTTTTTCTAGCTAGTATGGCTGTGGACCATTTACTTAAATCTTCGGTGCCTCTATTTGCTGGTCTCTTAAATGAAGATAATAACACCCGCCCACACGGCTGTTGTGAAGAGGAGACGAGGCGGGGCATCCCAAGGCCCTGGCACCTGGTTGGGCCACGACAACTGTTGGTTCCCTTCCCGATCTCTCTCTACTTGCCCTCTTGCTCTCGGAGCTGTGACCACCTAGGCCCCTTCAGAGGCTGCCTGAGGCTGACCTTTCAGTAAAGGCCCTGTCCATTCTGGAGGACTGGGGCTTGCTAGTCAGAGCGTCTGGATGAAAGAATTTAGGCTCTCTGTTCAGAATGCAGGCAGCCCTCAGCCGGTCCAGAGGCACTTCCCTCCTGAACCAGATCGTGCCGGGGAGGCGAGTCCCACGACAGGCTGGATTTGCCCTGGGAACCCCGAAAGCTAGACCTCGGGACCAGCTGTCTGGCTGAACTACACTGCATGCTGCTTTCAACTTTCCAAGTGTGTCCACATCCGTCGCCCCAGCCATGATAAAGTGGTTCTTTGGTTTCCCATTTGTCATCATCCCTTGCGTGAATAGCTCCCTTAGGAACCCGAGAAGTCGGGGGTTGATTGGCAAGCAGGATTTGGGCATCCCAGAGGCCCCTCTCCCAACCCATGCACACCCCTGACACGTGCCCACGTGTGCCCAGCACGGTGCCTGGATGAGGCTGGTGCTCCTTATATGACAGCATCCTCCCTCCCTCCCTCCCTCCCTTCTTTCCTTTCTTCCCAGCCTGTATTCCTCAGGCCATCAATTCACATCCTGCTTCCTCCCGGGCTCCAGCTCTGTATTTCAATCACAAGTCGCAGTGGCAGACTTCAAAGCACATCAGCACACAGTCACTGAGCCTCAGTGACAACATGTCAGCGGATGCAGAGCTTTTCATGTCACCCGTCACTGGGATGGCTATCTCCATTGGGTCCTGCTGGGGACCCGCTCCAGTCTCTCCCAAGGTATATTCTAACAGCCTGCACGGTTCATTTCCCAAGCTTCATTAGGAGTGGCTACGGGTTTTCTCTAATTATCGTATCCATGTCCTCTGGACCACTTGCTCCCCACAGGACAGGAGCTCTACCTGGCTTGCTCTATGGGTTAATGGAGTATAAAAAGGGAAACCAAACTGACCACTGGTATATAGTTATTTTTTTCCTGACAGGTAGAAATTAGAGGTGTCAAACCTTTAGTAGGAGTCATAATTTACCGAAGAGGATTCTCCATTTATCCCTTTTCCCAAAGTAACTTTCCCTCCCTAGTGATACCTGCAAACACAGTCGATGGTAACATTTGCTGCTGGGGCAGGGGAAGGAGGGGTCTGTGCTGGCTGCCGTAGACAGGAAACGCTTTAGAAGAAGTTTGATCCTGTGGGCACTTCCTGGGCACCATCTGTATGCCAGGCCCTTTCCTGCCCATGAGCTCTCTGGATCTTTATAACTACTTTATGAGGGAGGTGTTCTTAGGCCCACTTCAATGACGGGTAAGCTGAGACTCAAGAGAAGGGACAATGGCTTGCCCAAGATCACACGCTGGGATTCACATCCAGGCCTCCCCTGGAGGATAGAGTAGTGGACTTGGGAACTTTGGGGAGCAATGGGGAGGTGGCCCAGCCCAGAGCTTCAGGAAGAGCCCAAGATTCAAGAGACAAAGTCTCAGGTAACCCAGAAAGTCTGGAGCCTCTAGAGAGGCCCTGTTGGGAAGCTTTGGGATATAAGGCTGGGGGGTAAGACAACCAGGGTCACTTGGAGACAGGTTTTCCTAGGTTTATCCCCGTGGTCACCAAACATTCTTAATGCGCTCAAACAGGGAATGTCTCCAAGGGTTAAGATTTTGGAATGAACTTTTCATCCATCTGCCCACTCAGTATATAATTTGTTTTGTGTGCACTATGTGTAAGTGGTATTCTGGGCCCAGTGAGTGACGCTGGGATCCGGATCAGTCTTGGGTACGGCTCTCGGAGGGTAGAAATGATCTCAGAATCTGGGGTAAAAACATGAGGCCTTGGTAGCTCTTAATCGTTTGAACAGTTTCCCCTTATGCTCTGGGATGCAGTTCTTCAAATGACTGACGAGTGACAGGATAAATTCTTCAGTGGAAGAGAAATCCAAGAAATATGGTAACATGAGAAGCCAGAAAGATTCCGCAGAAAGGACAGGCTAGAAACGTACATGGAAAAAATGAGCTTTGGAGTCAAAGGCACACGAGTTTGCATCTTGACTCTGCTATGTGACCTTGAGCAGGTCACTGACATTCTCTGCAATCTAAATTTCCTTATTTGTATGAGGATAAGGCGACTCGCCATATAAAGCTATTTTAAGGACTAGCTCGGTGCCTGGCACATATGACAGCTCCCAGCCTTCCTCCATGATGCAGAACCAGTTTAAAGAAAGGTTTTGTTTTGTTTTCAGAATCAAAAGAATATGGGCACAGAGGATGGAGAGAATCACAAATCATTCAAGTTCATTAGGAGCCTAAGATTAGAGAGATTTGAAATTATCATCCCCATTTTCTCTCAACAACTAGTGACATCTCATGGGAAATTTAGAAACCAACTTTTTCCACTCCATAAAATCCTATTTATAGAATTTCTTTTGTGTTCATCCTTCTCTGTGAAAGAAAAGAAGCTTATTTTTCCTGGAGAGGTTTCTGTAAGGTGAAAACTAACAAATAATCAATATTTGTTTAAAAAAGAAAAAAAAAAACAACCCACTCTCTAAACATCTGCCGGGCGGAGGGAAAGACAACTTTGGTTTATAATGTTTCTATTTTTAAAGGCTATTGATATCCCAGGCATAAAAATCTCGTGATATTACTGGAAAGAGATCATCACAGAACAGGGGAATTTTCAAAGTCACTGAGGAGTTAATGACAGAGGAGGAGGCAGGGCCCCTGACACTTCCATTCCAGAACATTCTAACGCTCCATGCTGCCTCTCAGAGAATAACACCCCACAGCTACCCATTATGAAGCATGTTAATATCTCCTTATGAGAAAAGGGAGTGGAAGGAGGAAAAAAAGGAAAAAGAGAAAACCGTTCTCTAATTTAGAAGGAGACCAGGACTAGAAACCACAAAGGACACGAGTGGGGATCTCCAAGCGGAATGGCCCAGCGTGAAGCAAACACTCGAGGTGTGGAGAAGCTGCCTCCCATTTTCTAGAAATAAACCCCGGTTCTGGCAAACCGTTTAATCTTCAGGCTGTGGAAATGGAAAATGCAGCGTGTGCCAGTTGATGTCAAGTTCTGATGTAGGATACGTTCAGAAAACGGGTTCTTAGTGAATTACATAGAAATCCTCCCAAATTAGGAATCCGATGGAAGGAAAATAACAAAAATGCATTTCCCTCGAGAAAGCTGCCACACTGAAGAAGCAGATAATTTCTGTTTCTCAGAGAAAGAGATGTCTCCACACCTCAGCAATTATTATGAATTAAAAAAAAAAAGAGAAAAGAGGTGCTTAATTCATGGTAATACGTGCTACTGTTATATGCCTCCTGAGGAAATGACACGACAAGCTGGTTAGATAGAGTTAATTCTAGACGAGAGGATGACAGTTCATTATTTCTCATTTCTTGGTGGAAAAGAAAAATAGAATACGGCCAGACTGGCATTAGCATAATTCACTCCTAAAACTGCTGATCTATGCAGCACGTTATGAGAGATGGTCACTGAAAATCAATTCAATCGGAATGTTTATTATTTTGTTCCCTCCAGTTCTCTTCAAGGAACTTGGAGAGAAAGAGTGGGTAGGACAGACAAAAGTCAAGTTCAACTTCTGCCGTTTGCGTGGGAGCTCAGAAGGGAGGGTCTCTAGCCAGCAAATATGTCTCTGGCACAGTGCCCCAGAGAAGGGCACTTGGTTTGATTTAACACATGGCGTAAATATTATTAACTCATAATGAAGCAAAATTTAAACTGAAGTGGAAAGCAGAGAGAGAATAGTTGTTAGCAAGAGAAAACACGTGCTGTTAAATTTAGCTGGTGAGACGGAACACACTCAGATATAAATCTGAAAGCAGAGAAGATCATCTTTTACAACAAAGTTGCTGTTCGGATGTCTGGGTACATTTGAAAAGGAGAAATCTATTAACAGTTGTGCAATGTTTTCTCCATTTCTTCCTGCATCCTTCATTACTCAGGACACTTGCTGGGTGGGTACAGAGGGAGGGGAGAGGGGCTCACAGTCTGGGTCCTTCTGCTCCGGCTGCCTCTTCCCTACCTGAAGACATTGTCACTTGTCACGGTCACCATCGCTCCCACTAACAGTACTCGGCCACAGGTGGGGAATGAAGGCTGCAGGACCTAATAGTCGCTAATGTCACAAAGGTGGGTTTTTCATGCAAACACTCTTAATTATAGAGAACAAAGGGGTGGAAAAATCATAAACCCTCTCACACAGAGACAGATTTGTAGCAATATTTTTCACATCATCCAGTTTCAGTCTGAGTGCATTTTAAGAATCTTCTTTGCTAGAACCACTCTCAATTCTTTTCAGGAATTTTCTTTTCAAGATTGTATATGAACATACCAGTCCTCTTAATATGTACCTCAGCCTCTCACACCAGAGGTAACACACCGGTGGACTCTATGGGCCGCCATGCTTTGATTGAACCCAGAATTATTTTCTGAATCGCCAACATTCAGTATATACATGCGTTGATATTTTACATAAAAATCAACATTTCTAGCTTCTCTTGAAAAATCAAAAGCCTTGGTAATACTAGCCCGGCAACAACCTTTCTTTTTGCCACAGCCCCACCCCCCTCATCCTTCTAGACCCCACCCACTGGTTTGTTTATCCTTCCTGCCTGCACCCTCCCCCCACCCCATCCTCAGGCAACTGAGATTGTGATTCTTGTGACATGTAACTTTTTTTCAAATCTCTCCCTCTCTCTTACATTTTAGTAGAATTGTATTAGGAGTTAAAAGGAAGCATCTGACCAATGTCTTTTGCTCTTCCTTCCTTCTTCCTTTTTCCTGCCTGGAACTTGACCATGATGGCTGGATTTTGAGCAGCCATCTTGTGACCATAAGGCAACCCTGAAGCTTGAAGCACATGCTCAGGGTGGGTAAGCACAAAGACAGAAACTGGGGAGTTGATCACATTGTGGGGTCATTAACCAGCCCTCGAAGCCCCACTGCCAAATTTCCTGTTATATGAGAAAAAAATTAATTTTACTCTTTAAACCATTTATAGATGGGTATCTATTCCTACAAGCCAAATGCAATTCTTAAATGAGTCAGAGGGTATCATGTTAGGTAGTTTTCTCAGGGAAATAACATGTGCCTGTTGACTTTCTTGAAAATTCCCTCTGCCTCATGGAAATAATAACAAAAGACTCCCATTTCACAAACAGCTCCCGTAAACTAGGCAGTGGGCCAGATCCTTTATGATATATTACGTCCCAACCTCATAACACTCCTGCAAGGTGGGAGAGATTATTCCCATTTTACAGATGAGGGAACTGAGACTCAGAGAAGATAAGGAATTTGCCCAAAGCCACACAGCTGTTAAGTAATGTGCTTGGCTCTGAAGCCAAACCCCAAAGCTTGTGCTCTTTCCATGGGGTTTTCTTTTCCCCTGAAACTAACACAAAGCCCCTCTGAAAATCACCGTGCAAATATGACTTCAGGTTTGCTGAGATGGCAAAAATTCCTGCTGATACTTCTTCATGCCATTCTATCAGGAGTATCAGAGCGCTAGAGTTAGAATTTATAAAATTCATTTAGAGAAAGGCATATGACAAATGGTTTCCAATTCAAAACTTCTAATTATTTGCTTTCATGAAAAAAACTATGAACAGAGTGACTTTGTGTTGCCAGATAGAAATATTAAAACCAATGATGAGAAAAACAATAGCAACATGGGCTGCTGGCTGGTAGTTCCTCTGAGGTGTATAACATACAATCCTAGGGTATTGATAGTTTCATCTCCATTTTATAGGACCACTGAGGTTCAGAGACTGTCATTAACTTGCCCAAGGTCACACAGCTAGTAAGTGCTCCTGTACTGCCCCAAAGTATCCCAGAGGGTAGAGGCAAGTTAATGAATAATCTTGGGAGATTAAGTGGCAATGGCTTATTTCACAGGCTGTGGCAAAAACACAATTTCTTTGTCTCATGTTTTATCTTTAAAATTCATGCAAATTTTGTATTATACTCTATAATATAACCGCATTATTTTTATATTAGAACAAATGTATTAAATTATTTATCAACTGAATTATTCAACTTTTCTCTCCTGGAATTGACACTTTGGAAGATGTGGCTTGTGTCTCTGCTGTGGCTTCATAAAAGCTCAGCACTTAGCCACGCACCACTGGGAGAACGTCACCCCAGTTTTAGAAGCACGAGGTCTGTCTGAGTCCAAGGGGCAATTATTCATATATGAATAAGGACCCAGCTCAGGGTAGCGCAGAACTGTTTTCTAACCACAAACATAATGTTGTGAATACTGTCACATCCGTAACATTCATTAATTCATTCAACAAACAAGAGTCTACTATGTGCCAGGCCCAGTGCCAGCTGCTGGGCCAATCCAACCCCAAGTGGGGCTGTGATCTGGCATCACAGATTCTCCCAGGCGCAGTCAGAGAGACGGGACCAGCCAGATGTGGGGCTGGTCTCCACCCTGCCAGAGGAGCTGGCCTCACTGACCTTATGAAGGTACGAAAGCCTGTTGGTCCCAACTTCATTGTCCCCTTGATACCCAGGAACCGGATAAACAGGTTTGCCATCCTGTCCACCAGGCGCAGGTAGTTGAACTGCTTTGCATACTTGGGGAACACCTGCTTGAGGCAGATGGAGGGCAGGTGGGCTTCGGGATGGGCGCTGCCTGCCGAGGCGCTGGCCAGATCGCTCTCAGAAGGCTCTTCCTTTGAGGCTAACGGCTTCCCAAGCTGCTGAGACCTGCAGCACACAAGGAGTTAATGATAGAACCAACATTTAGAGCGGGCTTTACAGCACGCAGATTGCTTTCCCTTGCAAACTCTCCTTTCCTTTAGATTTATAGCAACCTGCAGGGGGGGTGTATTATTACTATTCTTAATGTACAACCAGAGAACTCACCTCAAAGAAGTGACCTGCCCAAGCTCACACGGCTAGGGCGTGGCAAAGCCAGAACTTGAACCCAGGACGGAGCCGGGACTAGAGACTTACACTCCCTCCGTTCTACCATCCTGGCTTCCCAATGTGGACAATTTCCTTTTCCGTACTCATGACTGAAGAGAATACTCTATTATGAAGCAGTCTGGGTTTGATTTCAAACTCCTACTTATGGGTAGTAGTTGAATAATTAAGAAATATAAAAATCTCATTGAGGGCTGGCAAGAAGCCACAGACAGTTCAGTGAACCATGTGTGAAGATACAGCAGTCACCCAATTCTAGGAACAGGCACAACGGGAGTTTGTAGCTTAACTATTTTCTTATTTGGAACTCGTACCAAAAAAATGATCGTACTGTTGTCATTCCTGTCTGGATATTTTCTTCGGAAATTATCCTGATACTCGAGAAAGTTCACAGCTACTAACTCTCAGATATGCACCTCCAGCTGGAATGTTCTTCTCACCTCCAGACACACAGATCCAGCTATCACCTGTTCACCCTCCAGGGTGACCCGCGGGAACCTCACACCGACATGACCATTTCCCCTCACCCCAAATCCACACTCCCTGTCTCCTCGAATGTCACCACCATCTGTCAGTGACCCAAGCAGGAAACATCTGCATGTTTCCAACCCCTCCTCTCCCTCTGTCTCCACAGCATCCTTAATGTTCCCTGGAACCCACTCCACTCTCCCCCTGCCCTGGCCTTGTCTGCTCTCTCCTGGACTCTAACAATGGGGTCTCCCGCCTCCGGCCTTTCCCATCCACAGACCCATCCTCCACATGGCACCTGAGGTGCCCTTTTAAAGCAGACCTGGCTGGGATGCGCACTTCCTACAGTTCTTTGTGGTTCCTGAGTGCCTACATGATCAAGTCCATACTCCTCCCTCTGGCACGCAAGGCCCTGCCTGATACCCTCTCTGCCCTCCTTATTTCTTGTCATTGCCTTAGACACACTGTACCCTTCAAGGCCTTGACCTCTGCTGCCGCCCCAGTCATGGCCTGGCCTGGACACAGAGACCCATGCTTTCTGGACGCCCAGCCCCCTTCCACACTCAGGCCTGTCTCTGCACCTGCAGCTCACCTTGCTTTCCCGTCTCTTGTCCTGCCCATAGCGGATGAGGGGCCAGGCGTAACCCTTTCCACCTGTGTGTCCATTCCAGAGACAGAGCCCTTGTAATAGGGAACGACAAGTCGGACTCCACGTTGAATCTGTTACTTTTACTTTAACCTTTGTGTTCTCTTGCTTTTGCTACAAGTTCATCACTAAAGGGATGTTGCCTGTAAGCCTAAATGATGCATAACGGCTGTCTCTGGGTACCCTGCCTCCCATGTGATGAGTGTTAAGGTAAAATACCTTTGTTTAGCTCACAGGAAACCTCCTGACTAGGCCCACCTGTGAATGGCTGCAGGAAGGAAGAAATGAACACATCCCCTCTGGAGTCTGACTAACCAGGACTTTACCCCCTCCCCTTTTAGTGTAAAAGAAGCCTGAATTCTAACTCCAGGAAGTTGGGACGCTAGGCCACCATCTTCTCAGTCTGCTGATTTTCTGAATAAAGGCGCTATTCCTTGCCCCAACAACTTGTCTCTCTAGTTATTGTCCTGTCGTGCAGCGAGCAGTACGAGCTTGGACTTGGTAACACCCTGAGCGCGGTGTGAACGGCCAGTAAGTACTGCCCAGCTGGCTAAGAGATCCAGGAAGAGAAGAGCCACATCCCATGGTGCTGAGCTCAATACCAAGGCCGTTTTCTACTCTTTTCTTTTCTTTATTAAACGGTCTCGTCCCCAGAGCTCCCACTTCCAAGCACACCGTCAGTCACCAAGCTGGGCTGTCTTGGGAACTTCATACCTGCTTGCCTCAGCCCTTGAAGACTTTCCCAGCCCTGGCTGCCTGGCACATTTCTGTTGCACTTTCAGAACCAGCTCAGCTGTTCCCTTGACCGTGCTGAAGACTGTCTTTCATGTCCCACTCCTGCCCCTTGGATTTCTTCACTCCTCTCATCAACTGCGCTGCACTTGCTTACACGCCAATCCCTCTCACTGTTTTGTGAGCTCATTGAAGGCAAGGACCACATCTTATTCAACTCTATTTCCACAGGACCTGGCACGTATTAGGTTCTTCGGAAATGTTTCATTGAATTTGTTGAATTGGGAAAGTTTGCTTTTAATAGCAAGGTGAGCTTCAAATAAAACATCAAGGTTATGATGCTTTGTACCCACCCCATAAGCTCGTTTAAACGGGGAAGAGGTTCAAGAGAGAAACAGCATACTTGACGGCCCTACCAAAATGGTCTTTTCTTTATGCTGGTCCAAGGAGCCAGCCTCCAAGAAAGAGAACCCCCTTGTGTGAATAAAAGGTCCTGTAAGTTCTGTTCATGGTTCCTTCTAAGTGGGTCTCAAAGCGAGGACAGGCAGAACCAGAGAAGCGCGAAGGAAAACCTCTTCTAAAGTTCAACAATGTGGATGGTTCCGGGGAAACAAATGCTCCCTCCTACAAAGAGGAGGCACCTTATTCCTCCGGAGAAGCACTGCATTCCCAGGGGGAGTGGGATGGAGTGGGTGCAACTTCCCTTCAGCTAAACTGGTTTTATCATCACCTCCTTGAATTTAAGACTGTAAATAAAAGTCAGGTGGTTACACTTCAGATGAAATAAAATGTTTTCACATTAAGGTTATAGGAAGAAAGATGAGAAAAAAAGCAGCACTGTTACTGGAAATTAGCTCTTAAATTCCTGGATAAGTGGCAATCACTAACTTCAAAAGCACTCATTAGGTTTTTGTTAAAGAAAAGATTTGGAAATACACAGTTTGAATACACTCCATGACAAAGAAAAGGGCTGAGAACTCTTCAATCAACAGAACCGTCCCACTTTCAGGATCTCATTTGCTCTTCACAAAACATGTGCAGTACACTGTTATTTTTATACCCCTCTTCCAGACGGAGAAACTGAGGCGCAACAAGGCGAAGCAGCTCTTTGCCCTGGCTGGATTGGAATTACACATCAGTTCTCCTAACCAGGGCTGTTTCCATCTTGCTGCCCTGTTATTCCAAAGCACATCATGGTTCACATTGGGGGCGGCCAAATCCAAAGGACTGTTATTTATTTTTTGTTTTTAAATAGTTTTTTAAAAATTATAATAGTAATTCATGGTCTTTGTAAGCATTCTGAGAACTGTATAAAGGAATCAGCATCATGTGTAATCCCACAACTCAGGGATCAACACTACGAATGTTTTGATTTTTTATCTATGTTTATAAGTTAGGATCACATCATGGGTAGTTTAAATCCTTTTTTCTTACACTTTACATTATATCATAAGTGTCTTCCTGTGGCATTAAGTATGTTTTCATGAGCATAATCTCTCATGGACATATAATATTCCATATAATGCCCAAACCATAGTTTAATTGGCCATTCCCTGTCAGTCAGATGTTGTCTACATGGCTCGTCTTTGACTAAATAGAGTCTGGGAGCCAGTCCCCTAAGCCACGTGCTCCCTCCCAGAAACATAACAGGTTCACAGCTAGCAGCAGCCTTGGAGATCATTCTGTCCAATGATGTCATCTATTTTCTTTTATTGTGGTCTACTGTACGTAACATAAAATTCACCATTTTAAAGCATGCAATGCACAATGTCGTGTAACCACCACCTCTATCTAGCTCCTAACCTTTCCGCAATGATGTCATTTTAGAGAAGAAATGACTCCCAGGTAGACAGGACATGAGCACCAGTGGGTCATCTGACTGGCAGGTCATCCAAGGGGGTGGCCGTAGCTTGGGTTACCTGATGAGGGGGACCTCACCACCTCCAGGGCACCTCTCAGGCTGGGAAGGTTTTCTGCATGGCACGTCAGAGGCTGTTCTCCCTCTGGTATCCATAGCCCACATCCCAACCCACCCTCAGAGCCTCACAGGATGGGTTTGTCTTCTCTTCTCCGTGACAGCCTCTCACCTTTCTTACTGGATGACTACCATTCCCCTTCCTTCCTGAATCCCAATTAATAACCTCAGGATGAAAAGGGCCCTCAAAGCCACAGATATTTTCATGGACTCAAAACCACAAATTCAGGCAGAAGTGGTTTTACTCAACTGGAAGAAGGCAGTAAAGATATGGCTGATATATAAGAGGAAATAAAACAAGGAGAAATGGTTATTCTGCTGGAGATAATTCCAATTATCACACTGAGATCCAAGTTATCACAAATACTGTAAAATCCTGTTTTTACCTAATAGCATTTTAATGGAAAAGTCAGACTTATGAAATAGAAGTGACTGGTAAAGAAAATATAAATCAAGCTTATCTGGGGTCCTTTGGGGTATTTTTTCTTAAATTGAATTTGGTGTGTCCTTGATTCATTAAAATAGGGGAAAGAATCCTGGAATGTTTTATCTATTCTTGTCTTTCAAATAAAATGGAATTTTGTTTTATTAAAGCTCTTGTGAAAAACCACCTACCACTATTTTGCCTGGAAAGCCTACTGTTAAGAATCACTACTATTTATCAGGGACCCACTCTGTGTCAAGCAGCTTACTATCTATATATGATCTCACTGGTTTCTCAAAACAACGCTACAAGGTAGGCAGAAACTAGTCCCATTTTACAAATTAGGAACCTGAGGCCCAGAGAACCTTAATACTTGCCCAATGTCACAAATCAATGGTGGAATCAGAATTTGTACTCCAGACTGTCTCACTACACACCCAAGGCTTAGCTCACTATGTAGCTCTTGTGCCAATTTGATTTAAATCAAACCAAAGACTTTTCTTCTGATGTACAAACTCTATATGTATATATTCTTG